TTATTTTATACATGAGTGTTTCTGTTAAATTATTATTTTATACATGAATGTTTCTGTTCAGTCCCTGAGACGACTTCTGTTGTGACTTGGAGCTGAAGAAATAAACTGAATTGAAATGAAATGAGGAGTTGGGTCAAACTGACCTTATCTTACAAGAAAGGGAGGAATGTGTTTATCTTGTGGGAAATACAACACAATACAACTTTATTTATAAAGCACTTTAAAACAACACAGTTGGCCAAAGTGCTGTACACTAACACATAAAAACTATGAACTCAACAAAAAGTCAAGTCAAGTCAACTTTATTTATAGAGCACATTTAAAACAGAACCTGTTATCAAAGTGCTTGATGACAATAATCCGCCATTTGCAATTTCTCGGACGGAGCAGCGGCTGGATTTATTTTAAAGATTTTAAAAACAATACTAACAACATCTTGGTCTAATGCTGATGTGCTGGCATTTTTTTGTGCTTGGTGGCTGATGACATAATTCAGAGCAAGCTGGATGGAGCTCTGCTGGTGTACCCCGATCCTCCCCCCGGACCCTCAAAGCGCCAGGCCGGGCAGGGCGTCATCTCCCCGGCTCCGAGTTCCGCTGGTCACCGCGGAAGATCCTTCGATGTGCCGACTCGGAGGCTCGGGTTCCAGATACCAGCCTTGTGTGCTCAGAGCTCCGCTGGTAACTGCGAAGCTGGAGATGGGGACTCGCAGATGGCCGTTGCCAGACCCCGGCCGCGCGTAATCATGAAGGCTGAATCCCGATCCCACCCGGCAGTCAGGCGGACTGGACAGTCTGGTGGAAGCAATTTTTAAATAAAATAATATTTTGTTTTTATACAAAAAATGTTTTTAAAAAATTGCTGAAGCGATTAAAAAAATTTTTTTTTTTACACGTAAAATGTTTTTTAAAATCGCTTCCACCGTTTGTCGCAGACCTGTCTCTGTCCGCCTGTCTGCGCGGGTCGGGCCTTCATGATTACCCGCGGCTGGAGTCTTGGAACGGCCTCTGTGAGTCACCAGCTGAGCTGGAGCTGGGAAGATGAGCCTCCGTCCTGGCTCCGGAGGAGAGGATCATGTGAGACCAGCAGAGCTGGTCATAAAACAATTATATATATATATATATATATATATATATATATATATATATATATAT